GCTCTCTTAACGTTCAGGACTGAGGATGCAACCTTTCACGGCCTTGGGTTTAGGGCCCAGCGCCCTGAAGCCTAAACCCTGCACCCTAAACCTTATATCTTTCTTCATGGTTCAAAAGTACTTATGTCATTCCAGCATGCTCATGCTAAGCCCGAAACCCTGAACCCGAGGTGGTTGGAAGAACCCTTCGCACATGCCCATGGCGTTATCTTATCTTATCGTATCGCATCTGATATTATTGTCCAGTGTGCTGTACTTTACATTACATTACTTTATAGTATAGTATAGTCTAGTCTAGTCCAGTCTAGCTTAGTCGAGTACAGTAAAATATATAGTATGGTACAGTACAGTATACAATAATAAAGTAGATAGGGTATGAGCCCGCATGTCCTGCAGCTTCGTTGCCTCGCGACAGCAACAACGGCTTTTTAGGGTACTGCGGCAGGCTTTAGTCTCAGAGCAGTGCCTGTCAGGTTGTGGGGTTGGTTTCGGGTTTAAGGTTCCGGATTATGTACGCCCCGGGTGGGGTAGATGTTTAGAGGGTGAAGGTTGACGGGATTGCAGGGCGCATGGCAGCGTTCGGCGATCTTGCGGGGCACAAGGTTTCAAAGCCTTTGGGCTTTGGGAGCTTTCACCGAAGTGTTGAAGATGAAGCGCAGGCCCAACCTCTGGCTAGATCCTGATGCCTGGCAAGGACTGGGCACCCTTCGAGTCTTCCACCCGGAGAATATACAGCGTTCTGACCTCGACACGGACCCGAAAGCCCTCAGCTCAGAGAGTCTGCATTCTTAAACGCCCAGACCCTGACTTTACCGAAAGACCAAGAAAATCCGGAGTAGAGAAGAGCAACACGCGGGAATCCCCGCGCTGAGCAACATCTATTGCTGTACTGCTCGAGCCAACTGTGTACCCAAAGCCTCCAAGCCATTAGCTGCTTCCTGGACAAGGAACGTTATGTCAAGTTACAATCACAGTCACAAGTAAAGACCGCTAAACCGTACATACGCAAACTGACATTTTGCACTCAGTTTCTCAGTCACAAGAACCAGCTCAGCAAGCACCCCACAGCAGCCTAGAAAGGACCCTATAAACCGCCTAAGCTGAGGCAGATGCAAGATCATCCTCCGACTTCCTTTCCTGCACTACCTGGGTCTCTCTGCAGAGATTGTGTAGAGCTGCGCGGGGATCTAGGAAAGTGCTTGATTCCCAGAAGCACGTGAGCCTTTCAAATTAAGGACTGAGACCTACGACCTGAAGTAGTTGCTACTGACAACAGGCATGACATGCTGTAGCGTCCAAATGGACAGTGTTGATAGGGAGAGCAGTGATGATACGTTTGCCGCACGGGTGTGAAAATGAATAGTACCACTCGCATACCGGCTAGAACACGAACCGTAACATAAACATCACGGCAGCTATCAGCTGCTTGCACAACCCCCGAACCCCCAAACAAGTGGCACGGCATGAAGCTGCCATGACCAGTATCAACGATATTCCACCACCTACCATCATCATCATCATCCTCATCTCCTCACCCTGGTCATCATCACCATCATCTTGATCATGTCGTATCAGTGGCATGGCAAGAAGCCTCAGCATGCGCTGGAATCAGACTTCTGCAACGCTTCACCCACGTTCATCCCCATCAACGGACACCCCAAAGGCCTGCAAAGCTAAGCCAAACCCCCAAAGCCCTGAGCTCGAAATCCTTGGACTCGTGCTCCGTGCCAGGACCAAAAGCCTCAACAACTGCGATCAGTTCGGGGTTGCGGTTTGGGGACTCGCAGAAGGCCTTTCTACCGACGTCATAAGTTTTGATATGGGCTTACTAGGGCCTTCTATCTGTGCAGGTTTGGGGGTCAAGGCTTATGTTGTGGAGGTTTAAGGCTTAGGGCTTTGGTGATTTAGGCTTCGGGGTGCACTATGGCCTCCTTCATAGCGCCCTAGAAATCCAAACCGACCATCGGAAGTTAGGCACCTTGCAGTGAAGCTTCAGGTTCATGTGCGCATGCCTACAGGGCTTAAGGCTTAGAGCAGGTTCAGGGCTTAGGGACCTGCAATCTTTAAACGTCATCGCCAATCTCAGACACGAAGCCTAAACCTAGGCCGGCTAGAAAGCCCAAAGAAATAAACATAGCTCCAACAGCCCTACATAATCACGCCCTCTACCCCAATGGGTTTGACAACATCACGCATAGGCATATGATATACGCGCGGACCGTTCAATAACAAAACGAAAAATAACTCTCTCTTTCTCTCTGCTACTTCAGGGCATGAGGGACTGACTGTTAAGGTCCCCTGGCCACCAGGGCCACCCCCCCGTACTGTCTGGGGCGGCTAGGTTTAAAAGACTCAAGGATTTGCAGCACGGTAGGGTCATGTGGCAGCGTCAAAGAAGAAAGATCTCTCTCCCTCTTTCTCCCTCTCGCTCTCTCCCTTTCTCTCGCAAAGAAGAAACACAACAAAATACGTGTCTCTGTAATTGTATGCATATGTGCATTCAAACAGAAACAAATGTGTGTGGGTGCTTGTGTGTGTGTATATATATAT